CTGTGATGGTAAGATGTGAAACAGGTAATGATTAAGCAGCTGACATAAGCTAGAACTAAAACAGGTCAAGGACTGGCCTTAAAACAGCTAAGCTGTCATGGTCTTTTTTAACAATCCTCTTTGGAAGGTTATTATTAACTGGATTAATGTGGAAAGACAGGAATAGCTTCCAAATACTGCTTGCACTGTGTTTGTATCACGCTGTGTTTCCCTTTGCTGGCTGTGTGCAATTCTTGTGTCCTTCATCCACCCAATCCATATTTGTGCTATTTTCTGCCTCTGGTGAGTTAGTTCTTCAGTGAAACCATGAGCTGAACTGAGGCAGGTCTCAGGAAATACAACTCCAAAGGCTCAGCTGTCATTATAGGATGCCTTTCAAACCTTGTGCACTTTCACTGCCCTGATGGGCATTGGCAGACTGACTGGGGGGAGCTGTGAGCTCCTTGAGTGGGAGGCAGGTGGACACTGTCCTTGTCCTCTTCCACCATGGAGAGCTGCAGGTACAAGAGCAGCCAGGCTGTTGGATTAGGGACCTGCTGCCTGGCTTTACACTCAGCAAGAGCATGGAGAGTTTGCACTGAGAATTTCCTGTGAAACTGTTAGCTTAGAGCCACTCCAGCCTGCTCTCAGGGGGGAGGTTAACACTGGGCTTTATGTAATACATTCCTCTCCATTGGAGGGTTTGCATGTTCCTGCAAAGTCTCAAGGGAAAAGTTGACATTTGGGACTTGTTGGAACTGGAGAAAAATAGAGAGTCATTCATCCTGCTTGGCTCAGATCCTTACATTCCAACTGGCTGTACCTGAGGTGTGAGCTGATGGATCAGTGGGAATACACACCTTCACACACTCTTTTCAAGGACAGATAGAACATTTTGAGCTGTTTCTACAGCCTCTTTATAGAAAGTGGAATAAACATGTTCTTTAGCATATGACTCACCTGAACCAAGGTGGACATTGAAAAGGGATCAATAAATCCAACCCCGGAGCGGTCCGTTTCAGTGTCTTCATTACCAACAGTCCAGCTAGATGACTTGCATCTCAGTTTGTGCACTTGGACAGCTATTCCTGCCATTTGTGCACCTGACCAATGGCTTTAGGCCAAGATGTATGTGAATCCAAACCCAGGCAAGGATCTGGGTCATTTGCACAAGTTATTTGGAGACACACACATTCTATTTCAATGCTTGGAGCTTGCAAGGGCAAAGTGCTCTACAACTGGGGGCAGGAGATGGTTTCCTTGAGATGGTGTGACCTGTAGTTACAGCAAAGGTTAATTCTGTATGTTTCATTTTGTTTTCAGTCTTTCCCTTACTGGGTTGGGGTTTGTCACTTGCATATTTTGGTAACTTATGGTAAGTTTTCAGAATGAAGAAATGAGTTCTTTTGTAACCTGGTTTTGGGGGTGGGAGGAAACCTTAAGATGGTTATTTGGAAAAAGCCAAGCCCTTTGTTGACAGAACAGTTGGGGTTGGAAGGGGCTCTAGAGATCATCTAATCCATCCCCTGCCAAGGCAGAGTCCCCTGTTATTGCAGGAGTCAGCTCAGGAGAGAGCATCCTTCAACTACCAAATGTGGAAAGAGGCACTTCCAAAAGTGATCCTTTCACACAACTCAAAGAAAACTGATACCTGCTCTTTTCTTTTAGGTGAGAACAGAAGGCATTCCCAGTGGAAGCATGCAGTTGACTGAGGAGAGTTGTCCACCAAGAATTCTAGAATACCTTGCTGCAGAGAATCAGAAGGAGCTGTCAGTGTTGCTGCTGGAACTGCAAGAAGCCCAGGAAGAAATAACTTTCCTGAAAAGCCAACTCAAGGGCCCCAGTGGCCAAACTTCTACAGGCAGCCAGACAGGAGAGGAGGCTAACCAGCTGGAAGAGAATTCCCAGATACAGTGCCTTGAGAGGGAAGAGCAAAAGGCCTCAAAGATGCAGAGTGAGTTGAGCAGTAGCTCGTTACTGGGAGAGCCAGAAATGCAGCAAACTGGTGTGCTTCAGGAAAGCAGTGTCAGTGTTTGTGAGCCTGAGGGGAGCCCTGACCCCTGCAGAGGGGAGGTGGAGGCAATGCAGGGAGTCTCTACAGCAGGTACAGAGCCTGGCACCTCTCAGTCTCAAGAACTGATAAAGTTACAAAACCAGATTACAGAGCTGCAAACAATTCTGCAGAAATCAGAAGAATCCTTCCAGAGAGATCTAGGAGAAAAAAGTGCAGAAGTAAATAGGCTAAACCAGTTAGCTGAGGAATACAGGAAAAAAATAGAGGATTTTGACAGTGCATTTTGTGTTCTGACTGAAGAGCGAGATCAGCTCCTGTGTCAGGTGAAGGAACTCTCTGCCATACCTGAACTGAGGGAGCAAGTGAAGCAGCTTGAGCAGGATCTTGCACTTTCAGAAAAGCAGAGGCTGTCAGACAGTCAGAGCAGTCTGCTGAGAGAACAAATCCAGAGCCTTCAAAACGAATTTAAATCCAAGGATGTGAAAATTGAAGCTTTGCAGAAAGACTTGGATGAAGCACAACTTCAGCTTTCTGACCAGGACATGCAACTCAAGGACCTGAGAAGCCAAATTGAAACAAAGGAATGTGAAGTACTTGACCTAGAACAGCTTTTGAGGAAGAATACAGCAGAGATGGAAGAGCTCTCCCACAAGTTAGCCTCCAAGGGGCAGGAGGCAGCGAGCCTAGAACAGCTTGTGGCTGAGCACAGCAGGTCCGTTGAGAGCCTGCAACAAGCCTTGCAGGAGAAGGACCAACAGATGACAGAGATCAGTGTCAGCATGTCTGAGAAGATGGTCCTGCTATTCTCTCTAGGAGCTGAGGAGTCTGAAAGAGCAGGCAAGTCTGTTACTGAAAGCCCAGGAAGAAAAAGACCAAAACACAGGAGCAAAAGATTCATGTGTGAAATGTGGAGCATCTGAGCAGCAGAATGAGGCAGAGGCAGCGAGCAAAGAAAGTGAGGAACTAGCAAATACAGTGGAACTCCTGAGAAAGGAAAATGAGCAAGTCAAGAGGAGCTGAGGAGTCTGAAAGAGCAGGCAAGTCTGTTACTGAAAGCCCAGGAAGAAAAAGACCAAAACACAGGAGCAAAAGATTCATGTGTGAAATGTGGAGCATCTGAGCAGCAGAATGAGGCAGAGGCAGCGAGCAAAGAAAGTGAGGAACTAGCAAATACAGTGGAACTCCTGAGAAAGGAAAATGAGCAAGTCAAGAGGAAGCTGCAGGCAGCACTTGTGAACAGGAAGGAGCTCCTGAAACAGGTTAGCAAACTGGAGAATGAATTAGTACAGCTGAGGGGAGAACATGACTCAGAAACCTCAGTGGCTCAGGCAGCTGAAGGGGAAGAAGATATGAGAAGCAGGGTGAACAGAGAAGTGAATGCTGAAAGACAGCCCAGTGAGGAGTGCCTATTGCAGCTGCTTGCTGAGAAGGAATCTGAATTGCAGAGCATACAGAAGGTCCTGCAGGATAAAGAAACTACTGAAGCACAACTGCAGGCAGTGATTGAGGAAATGAGGCAAAGCTTGCAAGGTCAGACAAACAGTGTTTCCATTAAAGATGAAATCTTGGAGTGTCAGACAACTGTGGACAAAGCACCTGAGACCAGGGGAAGCCTAGAAGATTCTGGAGAAAATGAAGATCACAGTTCAGCAGCTACAAATCTGGAAGAAAACCAAAAGTTTGCTCTGAAGGAGAGGATTTCAGCCCTTGAACAAGAAAAAGAGCAACTGCAAAAAAAACTGCAGGAAGCCTTGGTGTCTCGCAAGGACACTATAAAAAAGGCTCAAGAAAAAGACAGGCATCACAGAGAGCAGCTGAAACAGCAGAAGGATGATTACAACATCCTCCAGGAGCAATTTGATCAGCAAAGCAGAGAGAAGGAGATCCTGCAAGCTCAGCTCAGACAGCTCCAAGAACAGAAAGGATCAACAGAAAGTGTTCTTGGGCATCAAGGTGGGTTGGATTCTTCATGCATGGAAACAGAAGATGCCACAAATAAGCCTGTACAAGTCACAGATGTCTCTGAGGATGAGTTTAAGCAACACCTTGACAAACTGCAGGTGGAGAAGGAGGAATTGGAATGTAACATGAGCCATATGCAAAGTGAACTTGCTTGCAAATCAGAATTAGTCCTCAATTTGCAGCAGCACATAGCACAGTTGTTCCTGGAGATAGAAGGGTTGAAGAAAACCTCTGACCAAGCTGAGGCTAAGGCAGCAAGTCTTCAGGTGGAATTAGAGGAGAGTCAAGCAAAACTTGCTGGAGAGGCCAGTGTGGAAGATTTGAAGACACTTGTGCACCAAAAGGATGAGGAAATGGAGCTGCTTAACTTGCAGTTAAAGGAGAAGAATGAAGCTCTCAGTAATGTGCAGGCACAGCTGCTGGAAAAGGAGGAGTCAGTCCAAAGACTCTGTAATCAGCTGGAAGCTCAGGCTCAGGTGCATGAGGAGCAAAGCAAGAGACTGCAAACAGAGCTGCTTGAAATCCAGGAGAAGCAAGATGATGAGACAGAAGCAGCTAAACAGAAGAATCAAATGCAAAGAAAGTTGCAAGCTGCACTTATCTCCAGGAAGGAGGCACTAAAGGAGAGCAAAGCTCTGAAGGAGGAGTTGGCTAATGCCAAAGCTACTATTGACAATCTTTCTATCAAGGTGACAAATATGGAAAGCCAAATACATGTCCATGTTCAAGAAACAGGTACTTTAACAGAGAAATTAGAGTGCCTCAAGGGAGAGCGAGAAAAACTCATTGCAGAAGTTGATAAAGTACTTATAGAAAACCAGAATCTGGATGGGTGCTGTAAAGACCTGACACTTGCTCTGGATAGAGCTGCTCTGGAGAAGGAGAAGCTGGAGAAGGAGGTGGAATCATTGAAATGCTTTCAAGCCACTGAGAGCTCTGAGTGGCAGGAGAAGCACAGGGAGCTTCAGGGGGAATATGAAACTCTGCTGCAGTCGTATGAGAACGTGAGTAATGAGGCTGAGCGGATCCAGCGTGTGCTGGAAACTGTTAGGCAGGAAAAGCAGGAGATTTTCATCAAGCTGAAAAGTGCTGAAGCCAAAAAAGAGGAGGCTGATAAGCAGCTACAGGAAGCTGGTCAGGAGATGGATGGAATGAAGGAGAAAATGAGGAAGTTTGCAAAATCAAAGCAGCAAAAGATCCTGGAACTGGAGGAGGAGAATGAGAAGCTTAGAGCAGAGATGCATGTCACAGATGGAGAGCTACAGAGGACTGGAGAGGCCTTTACAAGCAGTAGCCTGAAAGAAGAACTGGAGTGCTCTAGGAGGGAATACCAGTCTCTTTCTGCTCAGCTGGAGACAGTAGTGGCTGAAAAGGAATCTCTTAACCAAGAGCTCACAGACTTAAAGTGTCTTTTTGAATCTAAGTTGAAAGAAAGCAGAGACCAGGTTGACAAATATGTTGCTCAGAAGACAACAGGGGAAGAAACAAATCAGGCAGCTGCCACACCACCACCAGTGGAAAGGACTGAAAATCAAGTGAACACAGCTCCTAGCCCAGAGTCTCCTGGTGTAGAGTTGGAACAAAAGGCGTCAGGAGGTGGTGGCCCTTGTGAGGATCCTGGTGCCTACAGACAGCAGATAGCTGAGCTCAGCCAGCGAATCGCTGAGCTGGAGGATAGCAGAAGAGCTTCAGAGCAGCAGCTGGATAACATCCACACACGTGCTGAGGCTCTAGCAGGTGAGAAAAGGGCTTTGGAACACCAGATGGAAGAGAAAGTCCATGAAGTGAATGCTCTGCAGGATACAGTAGCAAAGATGGAGCAAACAGTCCAAAAAACCAAAGAAGACCTTGCCCGGGTGATGGAGCTGAAGGAGGCGCTAGAGGCTGAGAAGGATGATTTGGAAGAGAGGCTGATGAACCAGCTGGCAGAACTCAATGGCAGTATTGGTAACTATCAGCAAGATGCAACAGACTTCCAGATCAAGAATGATCAACTGAAGCACGAGCTGCAGAGCTTGCAGAGGATGATGCACAAACTGGAGGAGGAGAAAAGTCAGATGGCAAAAGAGAAAAGCCAAGTGAGTGCAGAAGGGCAAAAGGAACTTGTAGAAAAGCTGAAGTGTAGTTGGAGGGGAGAGAGCAGCACACATGTAAAGGAGCTTCAAGAACTGCTGAAACAGAAACAGCAGGAGATTAAGCAGCTGCAGAAGGACTGTATCAAGAGCCAGGAAAAGAACAGTAGTTTAGAAAGAACTGTTAAAGCTCTGGAATTTCTGCAGAGTGAGACTCGGAAGGAGGTAGAAGCAGCCAAAGAGACTTCAGCTAAAGCAGTTGAAGACACCAAGAAAGCCCAGGCAGAGCTTGCCCTCTGCAGGGTGGTGTTGGATGACACGCAGAGCGAGGCAGCGAGGGTTCTAGCAGAGAGTGTCAAAGTGAAAGAAGAGCTGCAGGCAAATAAAGATAACATCAAAATCCAGATGAAGAAAAAGGATGAAGACTTTGAGAGAAGGTTGGAACAGGAGAAAGACAAGCACTCAAAGGAAATGAAAAACATGGAAGAAAAGCTGGCAACTCTGCAGAGGGAGAAAGACCATATAGAAGCAACTATTAGTGATCTGCAAGACTCCTTGAAGATGAAGGATCAAGAAGCCAAGCAGCTGGAAGGTAATCTAAACAAAACCTTAGCCCAGCTTGCAGCCTTCACCAGGAGCATGTCTTCCCTTCAGGATGATAGGGACAGAGTGATAGACGAATCAAAAACCTGGGAGAAGAAATTCACTGAAACTATTCAAAAGAAGGAGGAAGAAATTCGTTCAAAAGAGGAAAGCTGTGTGGTGCTGAAGGACCAGATGAAGCAGATGAGCATACGTGTGGAAGAACTCCAGACTCATATATCCAGGTAAAGAAGCTGTGTCAGGGGAGGTTTGGGCATGTATTTGTTGTCTGCACAAGGATACAGGGAGATTAACACTCTAAAATACTCTTTATCTCCTGTGTTAAATCAGTTCTCCGTGCCAAGCACTCACCATCTGAGTGCTACCCTGAGTCTTTAGCAATCTGAAATTTGAAAGAGTTTTTTTTGCATGGAGCTGTTGCACTGAATGTCAAGAGAACATTGGGATGCGTAATTCGAGTTTAAAACCAAAATAAATGTTGAGGGAAAGATGGAGCTGTGGAAACATACCAAAATGTACACCTGTGAATTGCCAAAATTCACACCCAAACTGTTCTGTGAGGGTGGTGAGGCACTGGCCCAGGTTGCCCAGGGAGGCTGTGGCTGCCCCAACCCTGGCAGTGTTTCATTCCAGGTTGGCTGAAGCCTTGAGCAACCTGCTCTGGTGTGAGGTGTCCCTGCCCAGGGTAGGGGATTTTGCACTGGATGATCTCTGAGCTCCATTCCAACCCCTTAACATTCTATGATTCTATGATTCTCACATGAGTAGAATTGTTCTATAAAGTTTATTTGCTGTATCTTTGCATCCTGCAACATGAAATGCACATCAGACATGAAAACAGCGATTTCATTGTGGGGGAGGTTGTTTTTGTTCTGCTTTTATTGTTAGCTGCAGTGGATGAGAGAAGTATTGCAATGAAAAGGAGGTGAAAACATCCCATGTTTAAGCTCCTCCATTTTTTTTTTCAAGATTGACAGAAAGATTTATCTGCTGGACAACTTAAAAATGTATGTACCCCAGGCACCACTCCCTTTGGATATCAGTGCAGTCAGGACTTCAAAAAATACCTTGAATTTTAAATTGAGGGGAAAATGAATCACCTGGATATTTCCAGCTTGATTTCTGAAAGTAAAACTAACTCTGTGGCTTTTCTAAACTAACCTGAAACCATTGTTGCAGGTTTGGATACTGGGGTACCTCACTGATTTGTGACTTAGTCTTTCCTGTTTTCAGGCTAGAACTCAACAAGAAAGACTTGGAGTCTGACTGCAGGAAGGAGATTCAGCACCATCAAAAGACATGTGAAATACTGCAGGAGGAGAAAAAGGAGCTTTTGACTGAGCTTGAAGGGTCTCGGGAGCTGTACAGCAAGTCCCAGAATGAACAGCAGAGACTGGAGCTGGAAATCAGCAGCCTGAGGGACCAACTTGCTGACCTGCAGAGTTCCTTCACTGAGTGTGAGCAGGCCAGGGCAGAGCTGGAGAGTGTGGTCAAGCAACAGGAGGCCAGTATCCAGAACTTCAAATTCAGCTGTGAACAGCTTGAGGCTGATCTGCAGGTGTCCAAGGACCTCACAAATAAGCTGCATGAAGAAACTAGTGCCAAAGATCAGAAGATTGTGAGTTTGCTGTCTGCCAAAGAGGAAGCAGTGGTGGCTGCTCTGTCTGAGTTACAGCAGCAGCACTCTGAAGAGATCAGAGAGCTGGAGCATAGGCTGAGTAAGGAGGAAGAGGATAAAAAAGCTTTGGAAAATGAGAAGAACAAATTTCTTGAGAAACTTGATCATCTTACTGAGAAGCTGAAGATAAGCAGAGAGGAAGGTAAACAGCAGAAGGCACAACTGGAGTCCTTCACCAAGTCCATGTCCTCTCTGCAGGACGACCGAGATCGCATCCTGAGGGACTACAAGCAGCTGGAGGAACGACATCTTGCTGTGATCCTGGAAAAAGACCAGCTCATACAGGAGGCTGCTGCTGAGAACAATGAGCTCAAGGAAGAGATGAGAAGTTTCCACAGCCGCATGGACGACCTCAACTCTGAGAATGCCAAGCTGAGCGCGGAGCTGGTGCGGTACAGAGAGGACCTGAACCAGGTGATCTCAATAAAGGACTCCCAGCAGAAGCAACTTCTCAAAACACAGCTCCAGCGGATCCAGACTCTGGAAAACGAGAAGGCAAGTGTAGAAACACAGCTGAAGGAGTCTGAGCATACTCAGGATGATCTGAGGAAGTGCATGGAAGCCTTGAGAGAGGATAAAGTCAAGATGTCTCAAGAGATTGAAACCCTTAAGTCCTCTGTGTGCCGGGTGCGGGGTGAGATGGAGGCATTGCGTGAGGGGAGTCCTATTGTGGAGTGTCAGGCAGAGCTGAAGGCCCGAGAGGAAGAGGCACAAGAACTGAGTCATAAGCTTTGCCTCTCCCAGCAAAGGATAACAGAACTTGAGGGGGAACTGGAATGTGTTCAAAGGGATGCAGCCAGGAGAGTGGGAGAGGCTGAGGACAGGCTTCAGAAGGAGCTGAAGCACCTGCATCATGATGCGGGGATAATGAGGAATGAGACAGAGACAGCAGAAGAGAGAGTGGCAGAGCTGGCACGGGACTTGATGGAAATGGAACAGAAATTGCTGGCGGTCACAGATGAGAACAAAGATCTCAGAGCTCAAATTCAGTCCTTTGGGAAGTCCATGAGCTCTCTTCAGGACAGCAGGGATCAGGCCAATGAAGAGCTTCATGCCCTGAAACAGAAATACTCTGCAGACTTAGAGGAGCAAAGGAGTCTAGTGCAGAATCTTCAGAAACAGATGGTTCAGCTGCAAGAGGAGCAACATTCCACTGCCAGGGACCGAGACACGGTGAGGTCTGAGCTGGCAGAGCTGCAGAAAGCCACTGATGAAAGAGGCCTCTTGGCCCAGATTGAGAAACTTAATCAGCAGCTCAGGGCCAAAGATGATGAGCTTCTCTGTTTGTCTGTGGAGCTGGAAGGCTCTTCCAACCAAGTCAGGTCTTTCTCCAAGGCCATGGCAAGCCTGCAGGATGAGCGAGACCGACTGCTGGATCAACTGGACAAGATGCATAAGGTCGAAGAAGTGAAGCAACAAGCAGAGGGAAACACTTCCACCACTGCTTCAGAAGTGCAGAGCCTGAAGAAGGCACTGTCCTCCTTGCAGAATGACAGGGACAGAGTAGTAAGTCCTTATTCTTTCTTGCAGCTCTTACTTAAAAATTTGGATCTTCAGGTCTTAAAGTTCAGCACACTTAGGTCTGGTAATTGTGATGTGACACATAAATCATTGTCTTCTGAGCAGTTTTTAGTACACTGCTGTGATTGCAGGTTCAAGTTCTAGTTTCTCTGTCTTCTTGAGTGTGACTTTTCCCTCCAGATGCCACAGTGAGAAATGCTCTTAAGCACTTCTAATAAACCAAACTGCTTGCTCAGCTGTCACACTGATGTTTGCCTCTACTTCCAGGTGAGAGAGCTGAAGAACCTGCAGCAGCAATACATCCAGGTCGGGGTGGAGTCTGCCGAGAACTCTCGCTTAAAGGCACAGCTGCAGGAGTGTCAGCAAGAGGCTGACAAACAGCTCCGCCTGCAGGAGCAGCTGAGGCAAGAAGGAGTTCTGTACCAGCAGGAGCTCCAGCAGCTCAGGTGAGTTGTCTGTCTGCTCTGCTCCAGCGAGGCAAATGTGTTTGCTGTGGGGAGAGGTGAGGAGAGTGCAGGCCTCAGGTTGGTGTGGTGGGATCCGTGCTGTGGGCCTGGAGCCTGGATACTGTGCCAGGGACAAGTGGCATTGCCAATGAATTGCTTGACAAAATTCTGCACAGCAAGATCAAAACCACATCCAGGAGCACCAAAAGTGTGAGCACGGAGCGATCTGCAGGGTTGAGCCAAATACAGAAAACTTCCTTAAACCTGAGTTCAATGTTTCTGTACCTAACTGGGTTGGGTTGGTTGAGTTATAAAACTTCTTTGGTAGCATGGGGTGATGGTAGAATCATCCTCAACTCATTCTTGCTGCATACCTTGACATCATAAGTGATATTGGTCATTTCCCTTGTGTTGTGCTGGGCAGGCAGGAGAAAACCACGTGGGAGAAGCAGAGCAGCAGCATGAAGGAGCAGTACCTGATAGCCATAGCAGAGAAGGACAAGCAGCTGAGCCATTTACAGAGGATCACACAGGAGATGATGCTGCCCTTCAGTAAGGCTCAGACCACAGAGGAGCAGCACCAAACCAAGGTGAGTGGAAAGACACGGATTCTTTACCATGTGGAAATGTGAGGTTTGAAATTCAGCCATAGGAGCGTGCTGAATTTCCTAATGTGTCCTTTCCTGAGTTCATGGTTCCTAATGTTTCAAGAAAGAGAGTAAGAGTTGGAGCTTCCTAGGCACCTTGGGTCCTTTGGAGCAGTATGGAACTTCTCAGGTGTGTCTTTCTGGCTGCTCCAGAATTGCCTCTTGCACTGTCTTTGTATTAAGATATTCTGGTTTAGTTCTCATTTTAATGCCACCTTCTAATTTTTCAGTTTCCTTTTGAGGTTTTCTTGCTGGTTTTACACTAAGAGCAATCTACAGTCCTGGCTCAAGCCCAGAGAAGCTGAGGCTGGAACACTGCACCTTCTCTTTTCTTTCTCCTATATCACAGTCCTAAAAGTAGAGTGGAAGATGTTTGGTATTTTGCTTGCCTGGGGAAGGCTGTGTGCACAGTGCCATGGTGTGAGAGCCAGGGGAGAACTCTCCTTCCCACACCTCAGGTGTTCCAGTGGGTTATGTCTGTGGAGTGGGGAGGAAACCTCCCCTTAACTCTTTGAGACACCCATGCATATATGTGAAGAAAAAAGCTAGAGCAATGCTCATGTGATGCTTTTCAGGAGGGGTCCTCAGTGCTGACCTTCTGGTCTTTGCTGTATGAGAGCAGTGTGGACATGGCTTTGAGTTTTTGTTTTTCTTCTCTCATTCGTGTGCTTATGTTTTCCTTCCTGTATTATAAACAGCTTCAAGACAACTTTGAGAAGGATCCGTGGCATGTACAAGTTCAGTGATCTTTCCTAACTGTTTGGATTTTCAGATGGCTTTTAGGATATTTTTGTTCGTTCCCCACTTGCTCTTTCACTTGAGTAGGTCAAATTCCAGGTCTGGGAATAATGTTGGGTTTGACCTGGGAGTGCTGGACAGAGAGGACTAACAGGAGAGTAAGTTGTCACACATTCAGGATATTTTTAGTTTGTTCTTTCCCTGCAGATCTCTCCAGAAGTCCTGAAAGGGGACTATCCAAGCCTAGAAACAGAGATGAAACATCTCCAGGCCCAGCTAAGTGACAGCCTGAAAGAACTGCACCAAAAAGAGCTCAGAATTCAGCAGCTAAACAACAAGGTACTGATCATATCCTAGAACTCCTTGAGGAATGTGGGGAAGGGGGTAGGCTGGAATAGGGCTCAGGGAGCAACAGGAATGAGCCTTGTGGGTTTTAATGAAGCAGCACAAAATCAGAAATGCCTCTGAAAAAAGCAGTTGGAAACACACTGATGGATTCCCCTTTGCTGAATGAGGCTTGCCCATCCCCACTCTGCCCTGCCTCAGGGAGTAACTGGGTGGGGACAGAGCTTGGGAGAGAGAGGCCACAGCTGGGACAGCTGTCCTGGATGGTCCAGAGGGATATTCCAGGCCCAAATGAAGCAGCACAAAATCAGAAATGCCTCTGAAAAAAGCAGTTGGAAACACACTGATGGATTCCCCTTTGCTGAATGAGGCTTGCCCATCCCCACTCTGCCCTGCCTCAGGGAGTAACTGGGTGGGGACAGAGCTTGGGAGAGAGAGGCCACAGCTGGGACAGCTGTCCTGGATGGTCCAGAGGGATATTCCAGGCCCACACAGCTCAGCAGGGTCAGTGACAGTCTGTGAATCAGCAGCTTTTCTGCTGCTGAATTTTAGTGCCTGCTCTCCAAAGTGACCAGAGGGAGGAAGGAAGAGGATAGGGGAGGAAAGAAAGAGAGAGGAGAGAAGACAGATGGGACAGTGGGGGAAGGAGGTTTGGTATGGCGAGAGGAGACCTGGGAGTGCTGCCTGCCAGCCTGAAACAGTTCCTGTGTTGCAGTGCAGAATCACAAGCAATGGATTCCCACACTGAAATGAAGACCCAGAATTTAGCAATCTTCAGATAGTTGCCTTCAAGGCAAGTGAGGCTGTGAAATCATCATTTATTGATGATATTGCTGGAAGGTTTAGGTCAATCTCAGCACTTTAGAAATCTAGTTCTGGACACATGTTACTTTGTACATGGCATTGGTTTGGGACTCCTGTTCTGGAAACCTTAGCCAGAAGCTGCTGCTGGAGATCATCACTGGTCTGTGGCCCTGAGTGATGTGTTCCCAGTAGAATTCTTACCCTCAGTTACACAGAGAACCATTTTGCTGTCACGAAACCCAGTTCTTTACTTGGCAGTTGTGTTTTCTCCTCAGCTCTCTCAGGTGTTTGAGGAGAAAAACGCCCTCTCCCTGCAGCTGCGCGGGACCAGCCGGAGCATCTGCGAGAGCCACCAGCACTACAGTGAGGTCCTGAGCCGCTGCCTGGAGCTTGAGAGGCAGCTCCAGGAGCTGCAAACTGCAGACAAGGGCGTGGTAAGGGGCCTGTTTGGCTTGGGGCATGGCAGGGAAAAGCTGGTTGCAGGTGGCTGTGCTAACTGTGCAGCGTTGTAGCTGCTGTCTGTCCTCGTCGTTCAGTGCACTCTGCTGTACATTGCTGTTTGATTTCAGGAGCTGTTTGCTACAGATGCTGCTCCAGGAGCACCCCAAGAAAAGAATGAGCCACAGAGAGGCAGTTACACACCTGAACTGCAGGAGCTGCAGCTGAGGTAAAGAAAGCTTGAGAAAATAAGAGTGGGGGTCGGTCCTGATGGAGGTGTTTGGGCTAGTGAATGAGCTGTTCCTCTGGGTCAGTGTGTTGGAAAAACTCATAAGACCTTGTGGATGTGGAGGAACTGTTGAATGCACTTGGCAGCTGTCATTGGTTATCTCTTTGGATAGAGCTTCCAAAAACACAATGATAACATGTAGCAGCAGTGCCAGCCAAACCAGCATCTTGCATCAGGTGGGCTGCATCCTCAGTAGCTGCTGAGGTATTTCAGTGGTCCTGGTCTCAAGGCTGTAGCCTGAGAGTGTCTGGAATTCAGACCTAGCACATGATTCCTTGTAACCTCCTGGAACCAAGATCTGGCGCATGATTTCTCATACCCTTTCAAAATAGTTTTCAAAAGGTGGAGCCATGTGTGACAGAGCCAAGGAACTCCTTCCTGATGTGAAACAGAAGCTTTCAAGAGATTTATCTTCTCTTGTGCTTTCCAAATAATTTAAATGTATTAGAGAACTCCATCTGTGTGAGATGGGAGGGGATTGAGGTCTGTTCTCATACTGCCTCAGTGAACACAACAGAAACAGAATACTCCACGATTTAGCCCGTTTTTGGCATGTACCTGGTTATTTCTGGCAGGTTGTCTGAAACAGAGCATTTACACAGCAGCACAAAGCAGGACCTGAGGTACTTGGAGGAGCAGCTGGAGGAAGAACGGGAGCGCCGTGTTGCTGTGGAGGAGGCTCTGTCTGCGGCACAGGAGGAGGTCAGGAGGTGAGCAAAACAGCACTGCAAAACAGCAGTGTCACCATTGGAGTGTGGTGGTTTTAGCTCTGCTCTTCATCTGCACTTCTTCACATTTTTCTGCCCAATGGCACTGAGGGCACAGAAACAACTGTGCCATGTCTGTCACAGAGTGGTTGAGGTGGGAAGGGACCTCTGGAGACCATCTGGTTCAATCTCTGCTCATGCAGGACTACCTAGAACCAGTTGACCAGGACCATGGCCAGATGGTTGTTGAATATCTCCAAGGGGGAAGACTTCACAACCTCCTTGGGCAACCTGTGCAATGCTCAGTCACTCTTGCTGTAAAAAGGTGTTTCCCAGAGCTCAGGAAATTCAGTTCCTTCAGTTGTAGGCAGAGAGAGTGAGACAGCTGACTGGACATTAAGACAAGTTCTGTCTAGAAATGAGATGCCAGCTTTCTTAATTAGTTAAATTAACTACTGGAAAATATAATTTGGAGACTGAGAATTGGGTGCAGGCAGAAAAGGAGCTCTCATGCTTCGAGGGGATTTGTCTCTTCCGTAAGCACCTGTCAATCTTGACTTAAAGAATGTCACTCAGTTTTGATGTATTGCCAATTAACATACACTTTGCTTAATTTGGTTGTTGAGAAACAAGTAAATACTTAAGAAAAACAATTTCCCTGCCTTTTCCAGGCTTAGCTTCATCCCAGATCCATCTCCCCAGTATCCAGTGCCATTGTCTGTGCCCCACAGGACACTCAGTCCCTTGGGTGAGGCCAAGGGCACAGTGTGGGAGGCTGTGGTTGGTATCTAGTGACTTCTCTCTGCTGCTCCTTGTTTCTAACTTATGGGGCTTCATGGCCTCCTGCCACACAGGTGTCCCTTGCAGCTCCCTGGTACCAAGTCCTTGCCTTTTATACCCAAAACACTGTGTAGCTCAGGTGACTGGGCAGATGCCCTGATAGTCAGCAGAGCAAAGGAGGCTGACCTGGACCCAGTGATGGGATTGGGATGCAGTGAGTAGCAGCTTGGGAACATTTGTTTCTCATTGACTAGGGAAGTGGTTTTCATCACGTGACTTCATTTAGGCACTTGTGCTGTGCATTTCCTGCTAGCTCACACAAGCCTCACCGGTGGAGTCTCTTGCAGTCTTTTCTTCTGACACATTACTGATTCGACCAGGAATGATGGTCTGTATGAGGGAGTTCTGGATGAAATTCCCTGGTAATTGCTGCACAGCTTGGACAACTGCACCTCCTTCTGGAATGAAGGTGTATGAAAGCCTCCTGCAGCTGATCTCCCTAACAAATTGCAGCCCCAGGCTGTGACTCAGCTGCCTCCTCATTTCATCCCTTAATACTCTCTTATCAGTCTTGAATATCTGTCACTAGAAAATAGCTAGCAAGAAGCAGCACTACTGCAGCCAGAGCTGGCTTCCAGAACAATTTCAGTGTTTGGTGTTCAGTAATTGATACTGCTGTAAGCTCTACAAATGGAACCAGCTCTTGTCAGGTGAGGCTGTGGCTTTCTGCAGGAGTTGATTCCTTTCTGGAGAAATACTTCCTTTCCTAAGCTTGATTAAGTGTTGGTTTGGGGCCTGACAAGAAACTGGATCTAATTTCGTGTTTGTTGCTGCAGGTTGCAGTCCAGTGAGTGGGCATCTTCCCTCAGTGCCAGCATTGACATGACTCCCAGTCATGAGCAGTCCTTGCTGATCGACTCCATGGATAACAACTCCAGCAGAGTAAGAACTTACACTCACAGCTGTCAGTGATGTGAGCTCTGGCTGATCCAAGGAACTGTGACCTACAGCAGCTCAGTCCCTCTCTGGGCACATGTGGGGGCTGTGTAGGTTTCTGCTCTTGCCCTGCTCTGTTTTCCTTGCCAAAAGCAGGATTTGGAGAGGATTGATTCATGGAGGACCTGCAGGGAGCAGGGGAAGGGGAGTACTTCTGACAGGGGAATGACTTGGGAAGGTTTATTAGCTTAAACTTCCTGTTCTCAGAGAGCTGTGGGTGAAAGCAGCTGGGGACACATCCATTCTTGGTACTGACTGGTCTCTCTTTGCTCTTCCAGGCTCGGAACACCCTTGGACTGCGACGCATGTTGCGTTCTCTCTTCCGTTCTCGGACCCACTTGCCTCTGTTGGTGGCCATGTACCTCCTTGCTCTCCATGTCCTGCTCTTCCTGTGCTTTACAGGTCACCTGTGAGCAGCAGTGACACCTTTCATCCAGCCCGAGCCCCATGTGTACTGAGGGTCTGCGTTCCCTGTGGAAGGGCAGCACTTCTCCCAGCTGCCTTCCTTCCTTTCCAACCCAGCCCTGGGTGCTGCTGTCAGGTTCAGTGCTGGTGCTGGGGATCTGCTCCCAGGAGATCTGCCATTCCCTTGGTGTTCCAACACAAGTGGTTCATTTCCTGTAAGCTTCAGGGACAGTGTCAGTGTTTGTGCCTGTGCTTGGAAGTGGAACCACTAATTTTTAGATAGTGTTGTGCCATGGTAGGAATAGGAAGAATATTCTTGAGTTGCTGCAGTATTTCAGCACTTTTGGAACTGCAGGATCTTCCCCTTCTTAGGCTGAATCCATCAGTGGGGTTGGGGAGACCCTGGAGCTGAATATAAAAAAAGGATTGTCTTCCCTTTCTTCCATCCCTTAGATTTGCTCCATGGCTCAGTGATGTCTGAAATGCATATCCTAAGGAAGTTGTGGGCACTTTAAGGAACAGGAATTGAATTTAAAAATTACTTCCTGCTCAGTTGCATCTCCTGTTGAGGAAAGGCCAACATCAGTGTATCTGGACCTGCTGAGCATTCTGTTAAAAGCAGTCATATGTCTGCCTTGACAAGGCTATAAAATAATGCCAGTAAATTAGTTACTTAAAAGGAATAGTAATCAAGAAACTTTTAGCTTTTAAGTTAAAACCCTTGCTGTTTATAGCATCTGTGCACCTCTGGTGGCAGAAGGTACTGGCTTACCTCTAAAGATGAGAGCAGCCCTGCTTCCACATTCTCATCCACTGAGCCCTTGTCATGAGACTGAACCTGTTCAGGTTGTGTTGAAGGGACCCATTATATGGTGTGTGGGCACAAAGCAAAGGCAGAAGCCCCAGAAATGAACTGACTCTACTGAGGAAGGGACCAGAGCTCTGAAACCTTTGGGTGTAGAAAGCTGATGCTGGTCATTGGGCTTGTTTGGACCTAAATGATGCAACTGGACTGGACCTTTTAGGATATATGGAAAGTTGTCTTTTTGTAAAGAACTCCTGAATGTATCCTGAGTTGAGACTTCCTACTTCCAAAAGGAAAATGCTGAATGCAAAGCAAGTTCCAGTTGCATTCCCTTCAGAGAACTGCCCAGGAGGATCCTGTCTGCCTCTCACTGGAGTGTGATCAGTCATGTTTTTCCCATGGGAAAGGGGTAGTTATTTTGATACTGCTGGTGAACTAAGCTGCTCTAGCCAGTGCACAAAGCCTGTCTGGGGGTGGATTGAATCCATTGGTGGCGAAACCATCTGGATCTCTGGCAGGTCCAGAGCATTGGCACTACATACACATACCCACTTGTGCACTGCCTCTGATTACCAGGATGGACTTCCTCCTACATAACATTCAGTGACCAAACACTTTCCTATAGCTTCCTGGGGCATGAGCTCCTGTATATATAATAAAGTCTATTTTTCAGATGGAGTTTGCTAAATGCTGTGTGTGGTGCTGTTGTCACACCTTGTCCAGGACACTATGGGAGTCTGTGCACTACCCTGTGTGGGAATTGCTGTTTCTTCACACGGTGTGAAACTTTTTCCCGTCTTGCCTCTTATTCAGCCTTTTTCAGCTGGCAAAAGAAGGAAATAGCACTTGAATATTCAATGCCTCAGGGTGAGGAGGGGGTGGAACTGGGTGATTTTAAAGTCCCTTTCAGCACAAACTATTTTATCAATAGTGAAAGCTAGTCCAGTAAAACAAGATTTGCTTGGGTTTACTTTTGCACATTTGCCTGAGCACTGCACCTTAGTAGAGTTGTGCAACCCCAGGACAGATGCAGGATCTGGCAACAGCAAGCTGGAATGTGCTAATAACTCAGGTGGGACAGTTATGCTGTTCCCTTCCAAACTCCGTGCAAGACACATTTCTGCTGGATCAGAGACATTTGCATGTTTTATACCTGCAGATGGAACAGTTGCAGCTTAGATTAAATACAGAAATAAAACCTCAGAAGGAACTTCTGATCTGATAATCATAGTCTGAGCGAACAGCTTTGTGGTTTGACCTGATGAAAGCTGAGGCCTTTTAGCTGTTTCCTGTCTCAAACGTTACAACATTTTGTTTCTTCTCCCATGGACCTGTCCTGCCTTGGGTTTTGACCTATCTGCAATAGAGCCTGAGAAGGAGATGGACCAACAGAGCTGTGCTCTGCCATTCCTGGGATACACAGACCCATTCAGCAGCACCACTGAGGCTGGTCCAGGCTCTGGTTTTGTGCCAGGAGGAAGGAAGCATCACAGGGGATAAGGAGGAATGGACACAGGTTACTGCATGGAGATGTAACAAGATGTAACAGCCTCTCAGCCACCCTTACAGACAGGAGTGTGAGGCTCTGGGAGTGCAGACAAAGTGCATGATGAGGTAGAAGAGGAGGAACCTATGCAAGTGCCCTCACCATGGTCAGATCAACCCACCCCTTGCAACAAGAGCTGCGTTGAGGCCAATGCTGAAGAGAAACACTAGAGAGGTACAGCCACAGGTGAGTCTGTCCTGAGCAGAACTGAGGCACTTGTGTGCAGACCAGACCCTCTTTCCAGTGGAGTTTGCTGCCTCCCTGGGGCCTGAGTCAGGGATGTCACCAGACAACTGACCGAGCTCAGTGCAGCCTTTGGACTGTCCACTCCAGTCCCTTCTGTGGGTGCTGCTGCAACAAGGAGTCCAAGGTTGACCAAAGGAGTTTTCAGAGCCCTGGGAAGAACGGGTAAAGGTTCAGGGTCACAGTTTGTGTTTTCTCCAATCCTGTGTGCTGTGTCAGCATCTCGGGGCAGAGGCAGTGTGTGAGGAACTCAGCACTGGGGCAGGTTTGGGGCTGATGACTGGAGCTGAGCTGGGGGCTGGGACACAGGAAGTGAAGAGCTGAAACTAAAACAGGAACTCGGAGCAGACACAGGCCCAAAGCTGTCGCTGGCAGCAGGTGCCTGAGTAGAGAGCAGCAAGTTTGCCATCAGGAGCTGGTGAGCCTTCAAAAGGTAAGAAAGCTTGAGTGGGTTTGGGGAGTGGAAAGTGAGAAATGACGACAAAAAACCAGAGGGTTTTGTAGGCAAAGAGAGCTCCTTCCTGTCCCAGCACGTTTGAGTGGATAATGCTTGGCGTTTGCTTCTCAGGCTTTTGTCCTGTTACCATTGTTACTCTTGTGTTTGAGGGTCTAAAGAGCCACATTTCCAAATTCACCAGCATGACTGTGCTGTGTGGTAGCCCTGTATTTGTGCTGTACTGGGTGCTTTCACAGGGGAAGATGGGACAAACAAGGGGCCGAGATGCTACTCTGGCTGATATTTCTCACTGCAGGGTGTCTGGAGCCTCGTGGGGTGGTACAGTCTGTGGTTTGTCACAGTTTCCAGGATGCATGGCAGGTGGCTTTGGAGAAAGGGTTGTCAAGAACCATTTACAGCAGCCTTTAAAACCCTGAATTTGAGCTCAAATCAGCTGCCCTGATGAGCAGACATGGCCTATTTGGTTATCACCACTGGTTTATCCTTTACAAAAATGAGTGACAAACTTTAAAAAAACCTTTGACATGAGAGATGCTATTAGGGAGGGGAAAGGAGATTAACGGTGGTGGTAGAATGTGCTGTGTTGTTCGCATGAGCCTTCCCACTTCCCCTGCTTCTAATTGCAATTAGCTGTGATCAGTTTAGCGCGGGATTGCTGGGGGTGCACACAGGCACTG